TGCAAGAGGAGAGAGGAGAACGGGGAGGGCTACGAGAAAGCTCCGTCTTACAGCTTCAAACACTCCCTCAGTGTGAGCCTGCTTGCTCCATTTTTTAAAAGGAACGTCGATGCCGTGCCGTAGCAGTAAAGATTTAGTGTTTAAGTTTTCTATATTCTTTCAGATGAGCGCGGTGGGCATATATATTCCAATTGTTTTGGTGTGTTTTGAAAGGACATCTTAGACCTCGCCTTGTCCTTGGTCAGTGAAGGTGACAGGCTGATAGAAAACTCCCACTACGCCGAGGACTCCATCAGGCCAAAGTGCACCGAACTGAGAGGAGTGTGTGAGGAGATCAGCTCCACTCTGAGGAGCAAAAAGAGCCTCCTGCTAAGAGCTATGGAGCTCCACCACGCTCTGGAGGAGGTAAGAGTGTGAGGAAGGCTTCATGAATCGTCCACAACAAATCCGCTGTATCCTTAGAAGCACTCATTGGTATTTTCCCCCCTCAAAGGCGTCGCACTGGTGTGAGGAAGGCATCTTCCTGTTGGCTAACCAGCCAGTGGACCGCTGTCAGTCTCAGGACGGGGCAGAAGCAGCTCTACAAGAACTGGAGCGATACTTGGATACAGCATCCCTGCACACCCTCACTGACCGCAGCGCCATCTGCTGCCAGTACGAGGCGGTGCTCAACTCTCAGCTCAGGGTACGTGAGAAGATTTTCAGTTTAAATTTTTAATGTGTGATACCTTTATCATATTTCACATTGAGCTGCAATATTTTCCATCCTCCTTTAGGACCAGATAGAGAGAGTTTTCCAGAAGCAAAGCTCCGTCCAGGAGATGTTCGAGAAGAGACGCGTCAGCCTGAAGAAACTCGCCGCTAAACAGACGAGACCAGTCCAGCCAGTAGCTCCAAGACCTGAAGTCAAGTCGCCGCATTCTTCTCCCCGTAAGTAGCCATCTGTAATTGGTTTAAAGAAGAACAAGTGCCAGGAACTGATGTCGAACGAGGTATCTTTTACTCGTTTAGTGGTGGTTTGATTAGGATGA